TTTCTCTCCATTATCACCATATATTCGATAAAAAATAGTTGCTTTTGTATGTTCTGGTACCGTACATATACCAATTGTATTTAAATATGAATATTTATCTTGTATTAAATTTATTAATTTTTCTAATTTATTTATTGTTAATTAAGATGTTTTCACGTGCTAAATTATTTGTACCAATCATAATTATTAAATGTTTTTGATCGAAAAATAATTTATTAAAATTTTCGTGTTTTATGAGAGATATTAAACGATCAATTGTACAATCACCAATTGATTCAATATGAGTTTCAAAAGATTTACATGGAGTTGTTATTGGTTTTTGTACATGATGTAAATGAGAATCACCAATTAATAATATCTAAAAAGAAAAAATAAATTAGTGCAATAAAACTAATGATAAATCTTCAGTTCATTGATAACTGAGATTTTCTCAATAGGTTAAATATTCTTATTTCTTTGGGTTTGAATACTATTAGATCTACTATATTGTTAATATACTTTCTAAATAAATCTTATTCACATTATGCGAAATAAGATTAGAATCTATATCTTCGATTATACTAATGTATTCTAATCTTTCCTTATCGCTTCATAGTTTAAATGTTTTTTTCTATTATTATTCAAAAATCTCTACCTTATGCATACATGTATTGTTTATTCTTTATTTCGTAATAGTATAGTCTACTATTTCTGTTTTTGTCCATCATGTCTTTTCTCTTTTCATTCGTCGATGTTTATTTGATAAATTTAGTCCGCTTGGAATAAAGTGACTAATAGTCAAAAAAAATGAATGTATTCACGTTGTACATACTTTTTGTATGAATCAAAGACATCCGTTATATATGTGGATAAGTGAAAAGAATATTCGAGAGACACAAATGTTATGAAGTGAAAGAGAGAGAAAATGTTTATGTTCTCTGTAATAATATAATCTAAATATAAAAAGTAATTGATATTTGAGGAGACGAATGGTATATTATTCAGTGAGAATGACAGATTTTTGGAATCATATTTAAAATCAATCCTGGCTAGGCATGGATGAAAATGCCATGTTTAATTATAAGATAAAGTGAAAGACAAACCTTGTTTTGCGCTACATAGACATTGATTGTTTTTTTTTCTTTTATTCAATTGAAATATTCAAAGATGTGTAAGTTCCATAAACTCTGTTATAATTACAAAATATAAAATAAATTCATGAGAACTTCGAAAAACATCTCTCATCTTTCTAATTGATTGTAAACTTTATATTGATATAAATAACATCCATTACGGGACTTTTAGAGAAAAAAAAAGAAGAAAATCTTGAACATTTAATTTCTTAAGAATAAAAATAACGAGAATCAGAAAAATGACATCTTTAACAAAAGTAGAAGTATCAACGAAATTTCTTTGTTTTTTCTCTTTTATCGAAATTTTTTACTTAAAATATATTAAAAAAAAACAAATGAATATTTTCATAAGAAAAAAAAAAGAGTAGAAAATGTTAATAATAAATTTCTCTCCAGATCCATTTTTGCGATTGTTTTTCTGTATCACATTTTGCTAATTTTAAATTATTACCATCTGCATCCATATATAAATGTTCTTTATTACTTTGAATTTGTTATGTTGTCTAAATAAAAAAAAAAAAAAAAAAAAAAAAAAGTTTTCCTTTTATAATTAATATTTGTTCATGTGTGTTCTTACTTTATTCGATTGCCATTCGCCAACAGGATTCCATTGACCATTATCATCCAAACAAAATTTTTTCTTTATTATATCATAATCAGATATAAAACAATGTTCACCAGATGTAATTTCACTTCCTTCATTCAATCGCCAAACAGCCTTGAAAAAAAAAACAAATTTTTTTTTTTGTTTTTGTTTTAATTATTGAAAATAAAAATTAAAAGTTAATTAATTTGTGCACAAGAATAAATATACACGGAGAAAAAAAGCAAATAATATGTTATAAACTTTGAGTCTTGTCTATATGTAGCAAGAAAAATGCAGAATTACTTCGACTACATCCACATAATGTCTAAGGTAGACACTGACAAGAGTTTCAAAATTCAAGATTAATTATTATGTGACTTAAATAGAGATTGATTGAAAAAACAGCAGACCGTATAGACTATATAAATCTTCAAGTGTGTTCTTTCTCATTGAATGAAATGTTTTTTTTTTTCTTTCTTCTAAGAGATTCTCCAGTATTTGTGTAATATATTCCGAAATATGACCTCGATATGTTTTGATGAAATACACATAATATAGATAAGTAGTAGGAGTGACGACGTCTTTTTTTGTCTTCTTTTATCTATGTAATTTCCTGTTGTACGTATCGATTGATTTTTATTTTCGATCAGCTTTATCAATAATAACATAGAAGCACTTGAATTATTTTCTCTGAAAATTTTCTTTGTTTGCTGTTGAAATTAATTAAAAAACTAAAAGCATGATTTCTTATCACGCTTTTCATCGAAATAAACCTGGAGATAAGATTTTACTTGTTAAAACCAACAGAAATTATCGAAATTTTAGAGCATTTCGCTCGTTATTTTTCAAAGTATGATTATATGTTCTGTAATATGATATAAATAAATTTTAGTTTTTCTTTTAAAAGACAGATATAGAGTGTTGACTTCCGAAATGCTTTCTAATTTTCATAAGAATTCTTCATATGAATTTTTTTACTATATCAAATAGAAATAAATAATTGAAACTGCAACAATCAAAGTTGATTTACACATTTTTTTAACTTCTTCCTCATATAAAACAATTAAACTAAGATTATCATTGTAAGAAACAAAAGACTTCACCCAAATACGAATGAAAAAAAAAATACAGGTCAATTCACCAATCCTATCATAGACGGATCAAATATTCTATTTATCCATTTCTAGAATATTATAAAATGTACTTCATCTCTTTTTTTTTTATTTTCTTCATTAAATCATGTCTGTCCAGAACAAGAAGCAACACCAATTGGTTGACCAAAATGAAGCACTACCGATCATTTAAACAAACTGAATGTTCAGCCTTCTTGACACTACAATTTTTCATAGAAATAATATATTTATTTATTTATTTTTTTTGTTATTTCTTACTTCACCCCAAACAACATTTCTTGATAGTGGTGGAAATTTTTATAAAACATTATATGCTATATTTTCCATAAACCATTTAAATGATCTACATTGTAATTTATCTCGAAGTTTTTTTCTTTCTGTTATATCACCATATTTTAATGTACGTATAGCTGGTTCACGTCTATAGTAATATTCAACATATTCATCCATCCATACATGTGCTAAACGTAAATGATTTATTGATGTTTGATAGACATGTATACCAGGTATATAAGATGGATGACCGCGTGGACCACGATAAGCATGTGCAACATGTGAACATGGTATCCATTCAACAATTCCACCACATTGCCAAACTTTAAATGATAATTCATATCTTTAAAAAAAAATATTTTTTTTTTTGCATAATTTTAAAAAATATGAACATACTGTTCAGCTCCCCATACTCGAATACTTGGACCATAATAGAGTACTGCAACCCGACCCGACCCGACCCGCACCCGAGCCCGACCCGCGGGTGCGGGCGGGTTCGGGTTCAATCTTGTCGGGTGCGGGCGGGCTCGGGTTCAATCTTATCGGGTCGGGTCGGGTACGGGTCTGTCAGCTGTCGGGTCGGGTCGGGTGTGGGTTTGAAATTAAAAAATGTCGGGTTGTATCGGGTCAAATTTTTTTGCGTATGTATGCTTCTGCTCTCTATTTTCGTTCGTCTTAAACTCACAGAATAATAAAACTCAATTCTATTGGTCAATAATTCTCAGAGTCTAATGAAATCAGAACGTAATGCTGTTATTAAAAATATACGAAAACTTTTAAAAACTCTAGGTATAGATCAACAAGTCGATGAAGAAATAACAGAGACAGGTACCAACAACAATTCCTCAACACATCAAAAACGTATTAAAATAGACACTGTACACGACGTTCTCAAGTCTTTTAATGCATTTGTAGACTCATCATCAGACGATGATGATAAGAGGCCGATGGATAAAGTAGATGATTATATTAAAGCGAAAATATCATACCCAAAAGGAGAATCACTTTGACAACGGTGGCAAAAACACTATCATATACAAAAAGTGAGTTTCTTGATTACTATATCATTCTCCTTAAATGCACAAGAAAAATTCAATAAATTAATTTAAATTTGATTCTCCTTAGGTTATCATTATTCGCATGTTCTCTCTTAGCCGTACCTGCAGGTTCTGCTGTATCTGAAAGAATATTCAGTAAAACAGGTCGGATTCTTGAAGTTCGACGTCAACAATTATCACCAGAATCACTTGACTCTCTTATTTTTTTACAAAATTTTTCAGTTGTTTTGTATTAATTGAAGATGTATTATTGATATTTGTACGATACTTATTGTTATGATCATTATCGATCTTAACTGTTTGAAATGTATGTATTTGAATGGAAATGTGATCATACTAAGTTGTGATGATCTTTTTTGCAATCATGATTATCTATGTGTTTTTTATTGCTATAAAGCTTCTATCATTTTTTATGCTTAATATTGCAATAAACTGATGCATCTTTATAAAATAAACGAATTTAAATCTCTCGGGTCGGGTCGGGCTCGGATTCAACTATCCTCGGGTCGGGTCGGGCTCGGGTCCAACTATCCTCGGGTCGGGTCGGGCTCGGGTTGAACCTTGTCGGGTCGGGTCGGGCTCGGGTTGAGCCTTGTCGGGTCGGATCGGGCACGGGTACGGCTAAAAGGCCTCGGGTCGGGTGCGGGTTCGAAAAATCAAACCCGCGCAGGACTCTAGACCATAAGCACCTAATTCAAAAAACCATTGCCGATCAATAACTAATAAACCACCAGCATGAGTTGATGACCTAAATAAAAAATGAACGAATCTATTGAATATAAATAATCAATAAATATAAATATACCAATAAGATTCATGATGAACATTTTCTTTTTTTAATTCTTGTTCTGGTACTTGAGTTTCTTTATATAAAAATCCACATTCTCATATAGCACGAAAATTAGATGTACCATATATATTTGTATGTTCTAATGTTTTCCATTCAAGTCCATCAAGAATAGGTACAGCTAATGCTTTACGATTAAGTGCAATACGTATTAATAATGGTGAAAGCCAATTAGTAATCCAAAACAAAAACAAATTTTTATTTTCTGTTATTTAACATTATTTTATAAACATACACATTCACAATGAACATCAAGTATAAGAATAACATCACCCATGGATTTTTGTGCACCAGTTGTACGTGCTTCTATTAGACCAACATGTTTTTCAGTACGATAAAGTTTAACAAAACCATTCCAACGTTTGACATATTTGTCCAATGGATCTTGTAAAGAAGCTAAAATCAGAGAAAAAAAATATTTCAATCAGTTCGTGAGAACAAATCAGAGATGGAAATATTTTAATTCTCAGGATTTTCTTCTATCAATAGTTATTCATTTATAGATGAAGGATTGATACATACAATAGAATTCATAAGAAAATTAGAGTTATAAATGTTTGTTTTTAGTAGAATAAAGAAAAAATACGAGACTGAAAAAAAAGATTGTTTTGCAAGATGATTAAGATTTGAATATATTCATTGATATTTTGCTTTCTTATAATTTATCTTATCTGACTGTGATCCAGGACTGACAAAAACAAAATTTCAAAAACCAGGAGTTTCTTGCAAAAAAGTCAGGAGATTTTTATTGAGATCGAAAAGCTGTCTCACGGTCTTTGTTATAGTAAACTGAAATTTTCGTTCATAAAAGCGCTTATTTACTCTTTGTTGTCAAGTTAGTGATAGCAAAATCTTTCTCTAACAATGAAGGTGTTTGTGTTGTAAGTTAATAAGATTAGACATATTCGAGTCAAATTAAAGATATCATCTCCAAACTAATAAATCCAAAATATGAGCTGCTGTTCTCATGCTCGGACGGAGATATCTGAATTTTAAAGTATTTACAGTCTATATAAGGTGCTCATAATTCGAAGTTTCAATATAATTTATTATTATTTTTTCCTGATCGTTGGATAGAGCTTGTCAAGTTTCATTAGGAAAGATGTGTCTTAAATTAGAAAAACAAAACAATTTTACGAAACTCGACAAACTCTATCCAACGATGAGGGAAAAATAATAATAAATTATACTGAAACTTCGAATTATGAGCACCTTATATAGACTGTAAATACTTTAAAATTCAGATATCTCCGTCCGAGCACGAGAACAATAGCTCATATTTTGGATTTATTAGTTTGGAGATGATATCTTTAATTTGACTCGAATATGTCTAATCTTATTAACTTACAACACAAACACCTCCATTGTAAGTGGTTTATAAGAAAAAAAGAAAGATTATTACATGTATTTTATATTGACTATTTATTTCACAGTCAATCATCAAACTATACAAACAAAATAGAAACATGTTTACTTCAAAATAGACACGATCGTGGCAAAAGATTAATCTCGAACGAACTTGACATCAAACTGATTTACATTCTGGTAACAAAAACATCCAGAAAAATACGCAATGATTCTTTCTTCTTAGCTAAAAGTACATAAGTTCTTGCTACAAAATTTATTTACGAAATTGATTATCTTATTTTTATAAAAATCAAACAGAAACAACGTTTTAGGTGATTGGTGCCTGAATTAGTGAACTGCATCGAATTTTTTCAGGTTTTCGAGTAAATAGTAAATAAAAACCTTACACTAATATTAAACTCTTTTTTAAAATGTGGGTTCGACAGAGAAGTCCTCCAGCGTCCAAATGATGTGCCTTGGTTCAAGAAAAATAATCAATCCATGAAATTAGAGAAGAAAATATACGAAAAAAATCGGAGTCTGATTTAAACTCGATTCCGATTATTTTTTGCGATTATTATATGTGTAGAATTGCAGGAATAAAATGTTTTTCAAATCTAAATACATCATTCGAAAGCTAAAAGATTCCATTATCGAATGCACATATCGAAAAAGAGTTTGACCTTGATGTAAAGTTTTTATTTACTGTTTACTCAAAACCTGAAAAAAAACCCGAATGCAGTTCACTAGCCGAATCCATCTAATACTATGATGATTATTCTCTTTTTCTTTTTGATTCAAAATATCACTAAAATTCAAGGTATAAAGTCTTAAAACCAAAAGAATATGTTCAAAACTAGCTCCTAGTACCAGGAGACTTTTTCACCAGGAGGAAGGTCTCAAAATCAGGAGATTTAGCAGCCCTGCTGTGATCATTTCTTTTATCCGATAATATGATTAAGAAATTATTTACAATAAATCTGATTTATGCACGAGCAAAATGATAATCAGCTTTAGAGCAAATGATATATATCGTTTCCAACTAATCAAAAAGTATAAGATAATAATTCTGTTTGCTCAATTTTATAACTACACAAAAAAAATGATGTTTGTTTATTTTATTTCGTTGTTATTTTCTCGGAATTTTAGTATATTGAATTCTATGCATAGTTTTTCTTGAGTAGAAGAAAGAAATATTTGATAAAATACCTCCCATCACTACTACCATCATCAACAAACACAACTTCTTTGAGTAGTTCAGGTGATGAAGTATTAATAACAGAATGTACCGTACGTAATAGAACATTCCAACCTTCATCATAAAAAACAAGAATAATCGAAGCTGTTGGTAAATATTGAGTATTTGGATAAATCCAATTTTTACGTCTAAAATAATGATGAATGATTTTATATAAGATGATTAGTTTAAAGTCTCACTCTGCTGGTCTTGTATCTTTAATATGTTTATCCATAGATACTTTATCCTAAGCAACCATATTAAATCCATATTGTGTAATTGTTCTTTGTGCTTCTCTTTCTTCTGCAACTGAAAGTATAACAGCAACACCTATTTGAATAAAAGAAAAAAAAACGCAAACATTTAAATTATTTTATGTTTAAATTTTATTTTACCTCCTTCGCCTGGACCTGATCTTCGTGGTGAATCTTTAAGTTCATAATTTCCTAATGAGTTACTCATTATGGTTGTAAACTAATATTCATCGATCGATCTAGTGGTTCTGACAGTTTTTTAGCAGCATTATTACTTTTTTTTTTAACCTCAATAGTAAATAAAAAAGAAGAATGATTGAATAATATTAAAAAAAAAAAACGATTTTTCGTTTTTACTTCTGGATAATCCATACCAATATCTTCAGATACCTATTGCTTATTAACTGCTTCAAGTTTGAACATCAAAAAAGGTACCATAAGAATAAGAAAAATAAGTCCAAGAACAAGATGAAGAGTACGTCCTAATCGAAATCACATTTCGAAAACTGTCCTACTTAACTTTTGTTCCTTCAAATATTACCAAGTCTATCGTTTATTCATCTATTCTGATTGTTTTTTATTGATTAATTATTATAAATAAATATACGTTATGTATGAAGTGTTTTTTACAAGATGTCGCTAAAAGTTGATACTTGATTTAAAAGACCTAAAAAACAATTAGTAAACGTAAACGTCTGCTATTTTGTTTGATAAATTGTTGAATGAATTTGTATTTTACAATATTTCAGCGCTTTTTGGTGATGTAGTTAAGGTCAGTATCTGTCATATCTTTTAGATTGTTTACTGCGATTTATAAAACTGTTGATGATCTCTCAGTGCCGAATTTAAAGTATTTGTCTTTGTGCTTTTGAACTCTAATAGAAGAATTCATAAGAAATAAAAAGATATTCGGTGTATTAAGTAAAAATAAGCCTCGGATTGATTTTTTTAAAGAATATTTGTGGAGTTTTATACATAAACAATTCGCCAAGATACAACTGCTTTCAATCCATTCTAATCGTTTAGAAAAAGTCTTTTTTTGTTGAGTACATATATTTATCAATTAATATCAAAGAATACAATTGCTTTGTTTCAGTATAATATTGAACGACTATTCAGATTTTTGTTCTATTTTAGTTTGTTATTTTTTAGACAGTCTATAAAATAACGATCCCAAATACATTGAAAAGTTATAATGAACACTGATCACGAACTTTTCTTCCATAAAGAACTATTAAAGAAATAAAACAAAACAGAAAAAAAAGCGTTCGTGTCGATCATACTTTTTCTTTTCATCGAAAGGTAATAAGAACATTTATATAGAAAGTATTCCAAAAGTGGTTACCCGAAAGTAAATTCGTATATCTTTACTATTTAATTTGACTTTATCAAGTTCTTTTTTAAATGATAGGTGGATATACCGAGTTTTTATTCATACGCGCAAACTTCAAAAGTATTGTTCAAAGGTATCATCTTTAACTGAAATACAAAAATTTAGCATATTTTCTATTTTCAAAAAAAAGTCATGGATGATATCTGTTTTAATTGCCTGACTTTTGACTGGATATCATTCAATCCGTTTTCGCGAAGACATAAAAATAAAATTCTATGAAACAACTTTCTAGGGATTGGAGAATTTAAGAGAGGTTCCACTGACCACCAAACATCGCGACCGCCGCTAAAGTTTTTTTTTTCAATTTTAGCAACATGGTTTGAAAGAACATTCAGTTTTACCAGCCAACGCAAATTTTTTCGATTTAAAACCCTCATAAAAAAATTTTAGCCCGAACCAACTTTTTTCACTTTCTTGATCATCAAGTCATTTTATTGACAAATTCACTGTGGTCAGTATTTTGACATTTTCTCGAAAACGATTAAAGCGATCGAGGTCATTCAAGTTTCATTTGATAACCCCTGATGTGTCCTACAGAATACTGGCAATTATGAAGGGTGTGGGTGTG